ATCAACCAACTTATGCTTATCTGATGAACGGTATGTTCAAAGACCAGGGAAACATGGTAAATTACTATTTCATAAGTTCCTGAAATTTAATTTTGCATACAATATTTGCTAAGTATAGTGTATTCTGCATATAACATACATCTAAATATGTACTATATTTTCAAGTTACATACAACCAACAGTTCCATACAGATACATACATTATAATCTACATACAACATACATATGCATACAATATACATCTAAATACAACCTAAATTTTTCATATCCGGTACACCATTCATCTGTATACAAACTATAATTTCCATTTGCATATAGCCTACAGTTGCACACAATATACATTTCAATACAGTGATCAAAAGTAAATATAGGTTGGATATAACATACAATTTTCAATTTTCAGATTGTTTACAACGACATCCAACCAAGCGATGTAGAGCTTGTTGTTATTCAGATTCCTATGGGAGGCGTTGAGGTAGATACCAGTCCAACCAATACTCATTTAGACAAGCATGCAAATGATTCGGATGATTCAGATGACTTTAGTCCTACACCGCATCTTCAGCCTGAGAAGAAATATAATGCAAGTGTTGGACCTTTTTCATCTCCGCCCCACAAGAAGCGCAAAGAGTAGATTATACATCACTCAGAGGCAGAGACTAAACCCAAGACTCCTGATGCAGGTCAATCAAAATATGTTGCGTGATAAGAAGCTGGCAGATTCTAAAGCAGATGAAGTATATTCTTTGAGGAATGATCTAAATTCATTCAAAGACTACCTGAGTTTTGTCTGCCATTAGTAAACATTACAGTTTTGTCAATTAACATTCATATATTTTTCCAACACCTATCTAATTTTTTATGTTTTGATTAGGTGATGGGCGAGTTCACGTCTTTAAGAACATTGATCAATGAAAACTTTAAGAAGATTTCTGACTAGATTAAAGCAAATCATCCCACAGTGACACGTGATGATGGTATTCAAATGTCGCATGATGTCGACGTGCAAGATAATCCCAAAGGCCAGCCAAAGAGTGATATAACTGTCGGCGAGAATTTGGAGGTTAACATTTTTTAACCTCTATTAGTTTATGTTTATATGAACATAATAAGACTATATGTTTCTTATTTATTCACAGTAATCATCTATACCACACCATACATATTTTGAAATACAAGTAAATACATGTTACTTAAGTTATACATAAGTATTCAATATTATATAAATACATATATAAACTGAGACATGTATGTAGTTGTATCTATGATTAATTTAGAGCTGTATTCTGTTAATGTATACTGTATTTTCAACTTGCATACAATCAACAGTTCCATACAGCTACATACAACATAATCTAAATGTATTTGTATTCAAGGTTTGCAGAATACAATATTCATTAAAAGATTTCCGTATTTATTATAATTGAAACTACAGTACACAGTAGCAGAGTAACTGAAACACATACATCCGGATACATTAACAGAATACGGATGTTAATCCTCACATACATCTGTATACATTAGCAGAATAGCAGAATACAGTATATTTATTTTCCACTTTATAGAACACTCATATATATCTATATACATTAACAGAATACAGATGTTAATCCTGTTTATGATGAAGCAATAGTTGATGGGAATAATACATCTGAGATGTTGTGTATCATACCACCTATATGTGTATCCAAAGAAGTACATGTATCACAGTTTGAGTTGCCGGACAAGTTTCTTCCAAGTCAAATTCCAGAAGCTAGAATTGTGATACATCATGCAACAAAAAATCCAACAGATGCAACCCCATTAGCCTCACATAGGAATCGGCATCCAAGTAGATGGTATTCTTCGCCTTATGAGTCAAACTTCAACTCCGCAGGTTAGTAAATTATTTTAAAAAACAATGTATTATAAAGTTATGATCTTCTTCCCCCTTGTATCTATAATTAAATGGTTGTATTCGTGACTTTACTGAACAATAGGTACCTTAGTTAAGTTGACTCCTATATTCGATAAGAAACACTCATTTGAAGATGATTTGATTTCGGGACCACATACTACATTAGTCATTCAAGAGTATGAGAAATGGGTTTGTGATGGTCTTCTCGCTAAACATTATCAAAAGTAAGTTTTTACTCTGTATGTCTATTCAATATATTTATAATTTAAATAATAGACATATTGTGTTTGGAAATTCATTATAGAAGTGATTTGGAAGACCATTACAAAAAGAACAAGTCAACACTGCATATACCGTTGAATTTTGGCGTTGATCAAGTCACTTCAAACAATTGGTTTTACCTTCTCTCATTTGACGGCAAACTATGGAATGACAATGTAAGATAAACTCCTTCCACATTTAGTTTGTTAAATGTACACTGCTATCAAACAAAAACATGTATTCGGCATTATGTATGTAACATACAATTTTACTAATCTATTTTCAGCAGGTGATATTTAACATACAAATACATGTGTTCAATTCTGTTTTCAGTAGTTGATATTTTCTCAATTTCATTCAATGTACTGACGCTATGTATTCAATTATACATGTAGCATATTGATGTCATCTTTTACTACTTAAGAAATAAGGAAAAGTACAACCAAATACCCAACTTCAAGTATACAACTGTTGATTGTATATTCAAGACAAGAATAGCTGAAATATTCGATAGGTATGCTAATATAGATAGTAATGCAAATGTATCCAAAGAAGAGGATGCGGTATGTGAATACATAAGGGGCTACAGATTGTTGGCTAATGTACTGTGGCATACTGTTAACAATGGCTTGATACCAATCAACTTAAAGGAAAAACTGCATTGGGTATTGACAGTTGTCTCATTCAAGGATAGATGTATCAAAGTGTATGACTCCATTAGATAAGCATTGCGTGATGTCTATGTGACTTCAGAGATAGATAAGCTAGCTAAGCTTGTACTTCTGTATCTATCAATTAGTGGTTTTTACAGAGATAAGCAAGGCATAGATTGGACTCATGACTCAGCATACTGTGACAAGGCACCAACTGATCCATTTGGTGTTGTTTTCATTTCAAATCTGTCTCAACAAAATTCCGGGAGCATGTATGTGTTTAATCCTCTTCCTTGTATCATTTTTCTAATAATATGAATTGTTTGTAACTGTTTTGATGTATTTTTTCAGGGATTGTGGGGTGCATGTCGCGGCATACGTAGAGTTTCTGAGCACCGTTGGTTTGGTTCCACAAACAAAATTTTATGCCAATTTACTCCATCAAAGATATGGTGCCCTCCTTTGGGACTATGCTATGCGGAAGATAGACGTTGATGCCATAAGCGAGAACGAATCACCTTCAAAGATTCTTAGGCATATCACTGATTCTGATACGTCGGTGAAGATAATGTTAGAGTAGTCTTATAGCCTATTTGACCAAGCTTCTCAGGAGGCCAAAAGTGATTTTTTTCCCAAAAGCACTTTTTTTCCTAACTTGAGGTGTTTGGCCAAGCTTATTTGGGGGGAAAAAGTGCTTTTGGGAAGAAGCAGAAGCAGTTTCGGAGAAGCAGAAAAAAGTAGCTTCTTTCCAAAAGCAGAAGCAGAAGCAGTTTTGGTTTTTCTTCTTACCTAAAATACTCTTAACAAAATATAGTATATACCAAAATAACCCTTAAACCCAATACTTAGAATATTAATTTATAAATATTTCTTCTTATTTTTAGGAAAACTTTCTAATATATAGTGACTTTAGGGGTGAATGCTTTTATATTTGTTGAAGGAATTTTAATATATTTAACTTATATTAAAAGAATTAAGTATTTTTTTAATTTTATTTTCATATTTTACTTAAATAAAATGGTTTTTTTTTTAATTATTGCATGTAATAACAAAATTTTGAGATTATTTATTTACTTATAATATTAATTATTAAGTAAATCTATTCATGTCCTTATTCGTAATTTGACACTTAAAAACACTTTCTAAAAAGCTTGGCCAAACACAAATTATTTCTCAAAAGTGCTTTTCAGACTGATTAGCCAAACACAAACTGCTTCTTTCCAAAAGTACTTTTTTCAAAAGCACTTTTGAAAAAAGCACTTCTCAAAATAAGTTGATTTCTCTAGCTTGACCAAACAGGCTATTAGGTGAATGTAGTTTTCGATGAGGGTTTTTGTGAATACTGTTTTCTTGGACAGTGTGTTGGTCAAGATGGTGTTAGTTTAGCAAAAAAACAATTTAATTTATTGACCGTATCAACAGTGTTTATATACTATCATTTCAAGCATCCAATCGATGTATTGACTATTTTTGTGCTTCTGAATTCATTTGTCCTTCAACCTGTTGGTTTTTTGTATGTTTACATCAGTTTGTATTAGTATATATGCAACATATTGTATTGATATGTATTCAACTTATTGTATCAGTCAGTATTCAACATGATATATTTATCTATATTCATTAAGTTGTATTTATATGTATTCACCAGATTATGTTCACATATTTTTAGCAGGTGTATTTAGACCTTCATATTTATATAATATATTGCATTAATATGTATTCAGCTGTATTTTGAATACGTCTTATGTATATAACTGATTTTATTCATCTGTATTCATTTATATGCATATGTATTATTCAAGTCTATTTAGACACTTGTACAATACATATTTAGATATCTATACGTGTATAACAGATTGTATTAATATGTATTCAGGTGTATTTGAATATATGTATTTAATATTCATAAATCGTATTCAATCTCTGATATACGATATGTATTCAAAAAAATCACCAGTTCTGTTTATTGAAATATTACATCTTTTTATGATACAATCATATCCTATGTATATAACTGAGTGTAATCATATATATGCAATGATTGTATTCATATATAATGAAGATATAATAGTCATATTTTAATTATGTATTTAGATTTAATACACCAACTAAGTATATTCAAAATATATTCGAAATGACACCGGAATCTATGACAAATTGTTTTGCATTAATACAAGTCAGAATGTGAACTAATTTCTACATGGAGTATTTCTACAAGTACGCTTATTATGTCCTTCCTGCCCACATATGCTACACGAATGTTGATTTTTCTTCTGCAGCAATTCAATGAACGGCTTATCACGCTTCTTCTTTGGTCTTCCAGGAGGTCTTTTCCATTTGGGTGGTAATACAACTTCATCTGCTATATGTGCTGGTATATTCCATTCTTTCCGGTCCGACAAAGGATACACTGCACTTCATATATCAGTACAATAGACTTTGGTTTGTAATAATCAGAGCAATAATCTTCTGGCATTAGAAACTTGCTCTTCAGGACAGCCCAAGTGTGTGGGCACGCTAATTCATCGACTTGGAACCGCCCACAACTGCATTTTTTCTCTAAGAGGCATACGGTGTAATGCCTTCCTTCATCGTTCACCGTATGCAAATATTCAGTCGATGGAACCACCTACATTTAAAAAAACAAATCATATATATATCAAAGAATAGACGTATTAAATATGATTTTAATATAGAGTATTAGAATTTTATTTAGCTTTAAGAATCACAATATATATATATATATATATATATATATATATTATATTAAAATATAACTGTATTAGATACAAACATATTTGTACATATAGAATTCAAAGACATACATGTATATACAGTTAAATACATTGAATATATTAGAATACATATACTATATGAATACTGGCAGAATATTAGAGAGTAGGCTTGAATGAATATAGGATACAACTTCCATTGCTACTTTGAAATATATACAGTTAAATACCTTGTACCATGGCTACATATAGGAAACAGATACATAAATAAAAGGCAACTTACAGTCATTCGTGTAGACATTGCCTCATTTAAGGTAAGCATCTCCTGGTATTTTTTCCCAAACGTTGTGTATGTCTGTAGAACTTCTTTCCGATTGCTACAATTCCAACGTCCAAACATTTTCCTAACTTCTTCGAGGAGGTCGTATATTGGCAATTCTCTTACTGACACAAGTGCGGCATTGATTGACTCAACAATATTTGACATCATTGTCCATCCCCTGTTGACAGGTGCATACAATCTAGCCCACTTTTCGTATCCAGCTAACTCCAAGTATTCCTTCACCCTAATATCTACCTTCTCCACCTTCTCCATTAGACTGTCAAACTCAGCCTGTGTGTATGCTTTTGCCATCGAAAAGTATATCTCGCTCAACTTTGAATGACTCTTTTTGAATTTCTTATATACGTTGTTCCAAAGATGCCATATACAAGCAAAATGTGGTACAGTTAGATACACTCTTGATACAGACTTGATGATACTTTCGTTCCTATCTGAAACGATGCACATGCTTTCCCTCTCCCCATATGCTTCCTTAAATTGCTCAAAGAACCACGTCCAAGCAGCATCGTTCTCTGAATCAATAATACCATATGCTAGTGGAAGTATATGACCTGTAAATAAAATTGCATACATATTATAAATATGTATTTCAATATTTAATATGCAGTAATATTATAATATTTTATTATAATCAACATACTCACCTGCACCATCCAAAGTGCTAGCCGAGACGAAAGTCCCAGTGTAATACGATTTTAAGTGGCTTCCATCCACAACCACAATGGGTCTACATTGATCGAATCCCTTTATAAAGGCATACAAGGATATATACACATACTTGAACTCATTTTGTGGGAATTTTACCATTCTAATATGCGAACCAGGATATGTCATATCCACTGTATACAAGTATCCTGGTAATTTATTGTATGAATCAGTCGGTTCACCCCTAAAAAAATTCATTGCCTATTCTTTAGCCCGTCGTGCCAACATGTACTAACATTCACACCTAATGTATTTCCTCTTATGATTTGTAAGCTTGGGCCTAATCATACCACCTATAAGGCTGCTACTTGGCTGATGTTGCTTATACACCTTATTCTTCAACAGACATGTATGCTTATTATTGAACTCTCTCACTTTGAATAATTATGATTTGTTAATGCTAGAAGCCTTAAACCTCCATTCACAATCTTCTGACATACATAATAATGCANCATGTCTGAATACACTGTACTTATAAGCATACATTTAAATACAACTAATACATTTAATAAAAAACAGTTAGAGCCACTATAATCCACAAGAATACATGTATTATTAATGCATAAAAAAATAAAAAGAACAATAGTGAAGGTCAAGTAAACATGCACAAATACAACTAAATACATCTACATACAGTTTGATTTTACATTCAATTCTTATGTACTAGTGTAATGTTCCACAACAATACATGTATTATTAATACATAATAAATAAAAACGCACAACAGAGAAGGTCAAGTAAAAATTCACAAATACAACTAAATACACCTACATACGTTGTACAAGTCTTACCAAAAATACAATATACAAAAAAAATAATGAATACTTAAGAACACTCAAACCTGGTTGCATTAAACCTATCAACCCGGAATTGAAACCTTTCTGATATAGTGTAATGCTCCATCACCTCTTTCAATGTAGCTTTATCCTGATATACTTGTCCAACCATACCTCCCTTTGATTTGTTTTTGAAATTGTCAAATCCTTGTCCAGTTCAAACACCCCAATTGGTTCGCTTGAATTAATAACATCAAGGGCAAGGGTATCATCTGTATCGAAATTATACCTTTGAACTGCTTCGTCCATTTGGACAATGTCGCCTTGAATTAAACTACCTCCGGCTACAACTTCTTTGTCAATTGTTGTTATGCACAAAGGATACATCCCGAATTTTCTGTTCTCTTTTTTCAACTATACATACACCCTAAAACCCATATCATTGTGTATTTTCATTGGCGTGCAATTTCCTTCTACTTTGTATTGAATTTTAATGGTCTTTGAGCTCAAATCTATGTCCAGTTGCTTAGAAATTGATGCAACCACATCATTATACGACGCATACTCCTTTATCAGTATTCTCTCAATCGAATAATCAACGTAGTTACTCTCACTGTTTCACTTTCCAGAATGACGCAATAACACTGTTAAACTTGCCATATACAAAATCGAATTTGGACGTATTTCTGTATACAATTGTATCAATCTCGATTTATCTTGGTTGAAATTGTTTTGTACGAACTGTAACAAAGGAACTGAAAAGAAAGAAGGGAGAATTGAAAATCCACAGATTGCTCTGTTTTTGGATACTTTCGGATGGAAAATCTTTAATGAAGGGAGAAATACAGATTATGGGTGATATATTGTGTTAGTTGAGTTATATTAGGAGACTATTTGCTAAATTGATTTTCTTTCCGTTTTAAATCAGTTGAAAGGTCCCTTTTTTAAGGAATATACGTTATTGTATTCAATGATACAGCTCTTGAATACAGTTGAATACAACAACTTATTAGTTGGACTTCTATGATTCACGCCTCTTTTTCTAATATATTCATGAATACAGTAGTCTAACATCAAATATATCTTATAACAACTGAAAACGTATCTACAGACTGTACTATAGCAAATGATATCTATAAATAACTAATTACCATTAAAAGATGGTGCTTTATGAAAATTTCCCATATTTATAACATGCAAAGAAGGAGATTGTTGGCATGTTATAGGTTTGAGCAACAGAAAAAATGAAAATTCTTCAACAGTGGATAAATGGAACTGTGGAAGGGATATTTAATATACATATAGATAACACACACACACACACACACATATATATATATATATATATATATATATCCGATAAGAAAATTGAATAATCCGCCCCCAAACCGATAAGCCGTTAATAATAAAATTTCTAATTTGTTCCCCATCCGTTAAACCGATACCAATAAGTCATTAAGCCACTTTTGCGGTTCGATTTTCGGTTTCAGTTAGGTTTTGTACACCCCTAATTATCGCAGCTTCCTTCCCAAAGGAGAAAATAAGATCTTCAAATAACAGAGAATAAAATATAAGCAATTGACAATATAATTTCGTAATGCTCCTATAAGTTATGATAAAGGGGATTTATATAAGGGCATAATATGTAACTGTCTTGCGCTATTTAATTCCTTCCCGTTATTCATATTTATTACATTGATTATCCGTTAAATGGTTAATTTGCAATGGTTAGGGTAATAACAGTCATTCGCGCATAAACAGAAATTATGTCGATCTCCAATGTGAATACCTAACATCTGGTGGAGGGAAAAGAGAGAATATGTACAAGGATATTCACATGCATCAAGTTGAAAAATGTTTGAGGGCCAAAATTAAAATAAGAAAAAGATATATAATAAAAAAATTCTCTTTTGTTTTCTTAGCATATGAGACCATCAAAGTTATGAAGTTGTTTACCCGATTTGGCATTGAATTGAATCACTAACATAGCTTAATCATCAAAATGAAAATCTGAATGAAGAAAAATAGTTGACACAAAAAAGCATTTAGTCTTTCTATCACCATAGACGGAAATGCAAAGAGCTTGATTATTAGTAAAACTTTATATAATAATCTTAAGTTAACTCTTACATCCACCAACTCATAATTCTTTGTTTTCCCTTACAGTGACTTACCCCCTGGCATGAGATTCTATGGAGTGAAAAATATAAGTGTAGAAATAGAGGTACACAACTTCCTTTTACAATCTTTAACAATATACAAATGATACAGGAGCTACATATTCAAATTATGGGAACAAAGCGTCTTAATGATATCATTGGACTTGAACAAATTTTCAGTAACTGATGGAAAAGAAGAAGGGACCAAAGTTTTCTACAGTACGGAACTAGCGATAGTAGCTATTCTGTTGGTAACCATATTGCTGTTGATGATCTGACTCTGGAGTGAAATTGTGTGATTCCAAGTTACTCCTGAGGCGCCAG